TGAACAACGCGGTGCATGCCTCGACAGGCTCCACCCTATTCTATGTGAACGATTTGGTTAACCCTCGCGTTCCGTTGACGCTACCACCTACCATATCAGGGATTACTGGGGGGGGAGATAGCCGAAGGCTTGGCTGATATCAGTCCTGTTGCGATGCGCAAGAAGGTGGAAGCGTTTCTGTCAACGCGTTTTGACGTATTACGTCGCGTCAAAGACGCTATGGCTGAAAGCCAGGATGTGCAGAAGGAACACGCGCATGCAAAAGGCAGGAAAAACGAACATGAGTTCAAAGTGGGTGATTTGGTATTGTTAAACGCTAGGAATTTACCTACACGCGCAGTGTTTGCGGTATACAAAACCAAACTATGTCCACGCTTTATTGGACCTTTTAAGGTCATAAGAAAAAAAGGCTTGGCCTATACGCTGAACTTTCCCAAGAAGATACGAACACACCCTGTGTTCTATGTGGGCTTGTTAAAGCCATATCTCAACCCTGCCTCGGTGGACTTTGAGGGGGTTTTCCTCATACTCCCCGGCCGAAGAAGGCGGGTAGCACGGCACCGGAGGTGCATATGGATGCTGAAGGCGTGCCGGGAGGTTGAGTTGACAACGAAGCTTGGATTAAGAACGCTCAGTCGACTTTAAGCAATCAGAGGTCTCAGAAGTATAACGCTCAAAAGATCGACGGTGTCGATCGTCTTGGTCATCAAGCGATGACAGGCAAGACCTCACCGATGCAAGGGCATCACGCTCCAGGAGTGTCAGGCGACGCTCAATCTCAGAGAGCTGAGAGGTTAATGATTCATCGACCCTCATCGACGCTGATTGATGAACTGGGTCATTAACAGCTTCACGTAAAACGTCTCTTGGATCGGCGTCATCACCAGGTTCATACCCAATACTTGGTGAAGTGGAGGGGTTACCCCCAGTTGAACGACTCGTGGGAGTATGAGGTACCTCTTCGGCAAGGTTTCCCGACGCCGTTGACTTTTTTGACCAGGACGGTCCGAAGAGACGACAGCTTTCGTTGGACGCTTTCTAGCACTTGGTTCTGTGGAAGTAGAGTCAGTAGGATGGCTTTGCCTCTGACCTTCAGAAGAAGCCAACACCGGTACATCACTCGCGTGAGAGATACGGGCAACAGCTTCAGAAGCTTGTCTTCTACAAGTCTTTGACCTGTATGTGGAAAGTAATTGACGTTCCGCTTTAAGCTTAGCAAAATTAAAACGTAGACGACGTTCTATTCAAACTTCTTGTGTTTTAGCGCTTAAACGAAAGTTTGACAAACTTGAGAGCTTACATGCTCGTTCTACCCAACAGGTGAGCTGGTGATCATCTTGTGCAGATGTCTCATCTAGTGCAGCACCACTGGTATGCCATCTAGTGGGTGCACGGGCACTCCACATGACTGTCGTGACAGTTGCTCCCGATACGATTTCATCGTAAACTCATGGGGAGTAAAAAGCCGCTCACAAAGAGCAACAATATCTGCATTCTCGCAGGCCGTACGGGATGGGACCCAATGACATAGGTTTGCAAAGGTTGCGATGCAGCTCGTCGAGCTTCCTGATTGAGGTCTCGGGGCACGATCTCATCATCGCGTCGTGAAGATGTTAGTTTGGACCGTGCCGAGGCGGCCGGTTGGGACTCGTCATCGATTTGACGACGCTGTGCATCAGAGGGCTGGTTACATCTTCATCGGCACCCTCTCGCAAGGAAAGCGGTGGTGCTTGGTGCAACGCAGTTGTTTCCCTTGAGGAAGTGGACACGGAACGCAATCGACGTTCTTCGATCGGCGTGCGTGGTGAACGCGGGGTTAGGTGACCCAACGTAGACTCGGCGCTGCTGCCGCTAGAGGCAACGTCACTGTCATCGTCCCCAAAGATGTCGCTATGCATTTCATCATCCATGATGGAGCAAGATCAATATAGACAGTGCTTTAAAAAGCAAGTGTTGTGGACACTGAAATGCTTCAAAGCAAGTGCTAAGCAAGTATTCGTAAACACTAACGGGCATTAATACCAAGTGCTTGGCACTTAACGCTTATAAGCAAGTGTCGTAACACTTAACGCTTTAGCGTGAGTGCGATACACTATATGCTCAAAGAGCAAGTGTCGTAGCACAAGGATGCTTACAAAGCGTATGTGCAATGCACGGGTGCTCAAAGGGCAAGTGATAAAATCACAGAAGCTTTAGACGCAAGTGCAAGCACTTATTGCGAGGCAAGAAAAATGGAAAGAAAATGAAATCGCTATCACCGTCACTCACGATATTATCATCGCTACTCATGATGCTCTCAGCATCCGACGCGTCAGCCTCCACAGGTGTACACACCTCAAGTTCAAAGACCACTTCGTTTACTGACTGCGCCCCACTCTCCTGGGTCAATGCCTTGTCATGAGATGCTTGCACCTTCAAAGACAACATCCATTGATGACTTCATATGACCCTCTATGCTCGGGGCCTCGTCACTAGGTGCTTGCGCTTTGTTGTACATAAAGACAGCCGTCATTCTTGACTTTACCCGACACTCTTGGGTCAGTACTCGTCACTAGGTGCATGGGCCTCATTGTCTTTAAATACAACATCTATTTGTGACGTCAAATGACCCTCCAGGGTCAGTTCCTCGTCACCCATGTCACTCGGACTCATGTCCTGACATCTTTGCTTGCAGCCACCAACACCACTCGCGGTGTTTAATGATGTAACATCATTCTCATGACACATGTCATATGTGCTATCTAGTGGGTTCTCAACCACACTATCGAAAGTCATTGGGCCTCGCCCAGGACTATTGTCCTCAACACTTACAGTGTCTATGAAGTCGGATGTTCCGACATCCAACATATTGACTGACTCGGTCCAATATCCGCGCCAAAAGCTTTTTTTGCTTCCTAGCAGAGGTGGGTTCATGACTCTCCAGAGCCCCACCAGGAGCATTGTGCGTTGCGCCAAAGGTCTTCGACCTCCAATCAATTCATGGCTCATGGCGTTCTAGCCATGACATGCCTAAGATAAGGTCGTACTTCATACTTCAGGTACGGTCACATCACCTACTTAATATTTAAGGTACAGCCACACCGCAATGGTGTGGCAGGTGTGTATGTAAAATAGACACCTTCGTGTAACCCCGTTACACGGCTCGTGTCGTACATAAATGAAGTTTTCAACCTGACTGCTTAGGGGGTCGCTTTTCTGTCTCACACGATCACTATATATGAAAGTACTGCATGTTTTACTGCTTTATCTAGGGTAGGAACGTACGGTGCAATGAAAGTAATATATTTATACTCAAAAGCACCATACACGTGAGGAAGATCATTTAGGTGCGAAAGATCATTTAGGTGAGGAAGATCATTTAGTTATGGAAGATCATTTAGTTAAGGAAGATCATTTTCGTGAGGAGGATCATTTAGGTGAGGAGGATCATTTAGGTGAGGAAGCTCGTGAAACTGTAATATCGCCGCTTTAGACCTCAAATTACGATCGACTGAGGTGCTGGTCGGAGCTGCATTTGGTGTATTTGACACACGCAAGCTCTGTGTGACCTCCTCGGATATCACATCTTCAGCGGCCACAATCGTTGTTAAAATCGCGAAGAGCGTGACAGCAGCCAGCATTTTTGTATGGGTCAGTTCGACTTGGCAAACATCTTGAGCGTTAAGGACGATCAGGTAGGCCGTAAAATGCGAAATGAAAAGAAGCTAAAAGACCTGAAGCTGGACCGGCAATTTGATGCAATCACAGCTTGAATTTGTTGAACCAAAGGGCAACTGTCTTGTGTCCATCCAAGAGTCCGATGCAAATTCCAGCTTGAATCAGTAATATGATTTTGGACAGCCATCTCCTCTGGATAAGATGTACACTCATGTATGCAACAGTCTCTTGTCATTCTGACGTCAGTTTCATTTACACTGAGAGAGAGGCAGATAACTCAATTAGACGTCTAAGCGTTCGTCCAGCTCAAGCCAATCTTTCCTCCCCCACCCCCCAGCCAACGTGGGTGGCTGTAGGAATTGGAGCAGTTTCTCTATTTTCCCAATTGGAGCGCTGAGCAAATCGCGATGCGTCAGGTTGGTTCATACCCTGCTTTCCGTCTGTCGAAATTTGCAGCTAATCACCGAATCAGATGCAAATTCCAGCATGTTTGGTGTGATTGCTGCCTTGTACTTGCTCGATGCCCACGATAGCCCAGCAGCTCAAGCTAGCGTGTACCTCGACCCGTTAAATACGATTGACTCTAGATTAATGTTATCCGCAGTAGTAGCGACAGTATTAAACTTTTACAGGTGTTAATCTATTCCTTTATCAAATCGGATGTCTTGAATTTGGCAGTCTTTGACTCCGTCGGCAACTTGAAGAAATTTATTCTTCATTGTATCTAGTGCGTTCCGTCTTTGCAGCTGCCCAGCACTACTTAATTCTGGTCGTGGCACTACATCAAACGACGTGCGTAAAGGTTTGTCGAGGCACGACATTGTGCCACGATGACAAGTCGCTGAGATATTGCTTGAAAAAAATGTGTTACCCTTGAGCAACAGAGTTGCTAGCGCTTTTCATGCAATGTTTGCCAATGCAAAAGTGTTACTGTGTGCTAAGTCGTTTCTACTCAAGTGTTTGTCAAACAAAGCGACTAAAGGTTCTTTCGTGGTATTGTGTTGAACTCGTGTGTTAAGACTGCACCGAATCATGGCTGCATTGCAAAGTAATACAAGAGTCAACGCTTCTAGTGCTTTTACAAGTCTCACATCTCTTTGTCTTTACTATAATCACATAAGTATACGTCTGTTAATATAGGAACAGAGTGGCCATCAGTCACAAAGTGAAGAAGGTGAAGTTCTAAAAGCTGGAAAAAAGTACCAGCCTGAGACAAAAATAAAATGGGTTAATTAAAATATGACGGCCAAAAATTGCGTCTTTATTTTTTGAAGTAACGCCATCCACGTGAAGTAACGAGATGTTTCAGTTAATTTTTTTAACTTTGAAACAGAAGTCAAGACATGGCGGCGGACCGCACGACTGACTTTGCGCAGCTGTGTAGACAATATACGGCATCGAAAGGTGGCGCTAATCTCCATGTACATGATTCTTCTTTGCTTTCTCTACATTACTGAAACCTTTATCGATCTTCATGAGGTGTAATGCTAACGCAATTTGCATTTTCTTTCACATCATAGAAACTTGTGCACACGCCACTCCAAGAAAACGCCCAGTTTAATGCCGCCGCCTCTGATATCTCAAAAGAAGTGTACCAAGCATCTAAAAGATTGCAGCAGTTAACGCGACGTACGTGTCAAGTAGCAGCGACATCATGAAATGCTGAGGTCTACACTAATGCTGTGTGTGTCATGGTAAAGTGGTGCGGCAGAACAACATGTTTAACGACCCTACAGAAGCGATTAATGAGCTGGCAGCGTTGGTAAAAAAAGACATTACGGATATTAATATGCAGCTAGATAATTTACAAGAGTACATGAATAGCAAGCGGCAATTAGCACCCTCGAGACAAGCAGCCAAGCATTCGGACGCTATCGTGTCGCTCATGAAGTCTAATCTCATGGCTACAACCAAAGGATTCAAGGATATTTTGGAAGTCAGGCAGGAGAATATGAAGCTGCAGCAGAGTCGCCGTGCTCGATACGGTAAGACGGCGTCGAGTGCGCTGGGAAAGCCGCTGGCCTTTAAGGCGCCGCAACCTACGAAAAGCAACAATAGCCATATTAGTAGGAATTTGCAGGAAGTGGACTTGTCTAGCACACTGCCACGCCCAGGATTTAGTACGGGCGGGTCTTTGAACAAGGACAATTCGGAGATCCAACCCCTCATCACGACCATGACACAAGAGCAAATTGTGCCAGAACAGCAGAACTACACTGAATCAAGAGCTGAAGCTGTGTCCCAAATTGAAAGTCACATTGTAGATATTGGGCAGCTCTTTGGAAGACTGTCGACGCTAATTCATGAACAGGGAGACCTCGTGCGAAGGTATAGTGAGTGCTCTGAATGTTACGTCGGGTCTAATATGTGTTGTGTATGGAATTGTATTGTTGTCGGTAGAATCGATGACAATGTGGAGGATTCGCTGGTGAACGTAAGCAGCGGCGAGCAAGAGCTGCTCAAGTATTTTTCTAGTCTGTCAAACACTAGACTGCTGGCACTCAAGATTTCTGCTATCTTATTGATCTTCCTCATCTTCTTCATGTTTTTCTTAGCTTAAACCCTCAAATAAATCACAAGTGACGACGAGCTACTGCCGTCGGGTGTCTGCTGCTCATACTTTTACATAACAAAGCAGCGCACGATTATCCACTCCAGTCCTTTTGTTTCTTCTCATTCTCTTTTGGTTTAATAGCAATAAAGCCTCCAAGTGCCATAGCAATCACAGTAGCACCCTGGGCTACCACACGCAGACGCATGTATTTCTGCTGCGTTGCAGCATCGGCAGCACGACGAAACGAGGCTAGACCACCCATTAGCACACCAGCTGTTGCTAAACAACCCAAAGGTACTAGCGGCTCTTCTTGACAGCGACGTTTCATCTTTTGCCAGCCAGTCTCCATTGGAAGCCCTCTTGACGTGTTTTGTGACTTGACTGTCTTGTTATATTTTTTATTCCTTTAGACGAGCTATAAAAATATTGTGAATTGTACGTTTATTACCAATGTTAACGTAAGCAATTCAAGATAATAATATATGTTTGTAAGAGTTTTTGATAACAAGCATTTGATACTAGATATTGTATTGTACAAAGTATTCGAATTCATAGGTATGCGTTTATACAGTAGGTTGACTCTCCACCCTAAATTCTATCGTCGGGGGGTCCCATTAGCTAAAAGTGACTTGTATTGTCAAAATGCTTCATCTTCGTAAACAAATTGTCGGTCGTGTGTTACAGACACGCGCCATTGAATGGAATGTCATGTCACAGAAACTATCGGATCCACGTGCTCGTGCTGCTCTCGATAGCTTGCGTGATGTGCACGGCCATATTGCGGCCGAGGCTCGTGCTTACATTAAGGAACCCGAGGCCATCGACTTTGACTATTATCGCTCAGTGATTAAGAATAAAGAGCTGGTTGATGCCATGGAATCCAACTATAACAGCATTTGTTTTCCGACCATCACTCCTGAAGAGCTGGATGCTGCTTCCAAGTCGGCTGATTTACCAGACGATTTACGTGTAGACGAACAGGAGACTGTTGACAAGCTCGTATGTTGTCTATTATGATGCAATGAGTAGGAATTGTTGATTGCATAGAAGTGTCTAAAAAATTGTGAGGATGTTTGATGCTATTGTATTTGATGTAGTTTACGCAATTGAATGAGAAAGTCGCGGATTCCAAGGCGCGCATTGAGGAACTAAAGGAACTTATTTGTCTGATGGAGGAAACCCGTACAACGCTAGCCACGACTATGGATGAGATGACGGCCATGTATCCAGAGGTGGAGGAAGAGATTGATGATGAAATTGCCAACCTTGAGTGGGAGAAGGACACACAATAAACAGTGTCGCTCAGGAGAGATTTCTGTGTGAAGATACTACAGGAACATCAAGATGTAAATTGGACAGAAGAAGCTTGAGGCAATGACAGTTATGAAAGACAGCACGACGAGACGGAATGGTGTTCTCAGTGACCTGATTGGCTTGGCTCTCTATCCTTGCGTAGACTTTTAATGACACCGCATCTTTACACAAAGATTGTAGTGGTTTGTACCGCGTATGATCGGTTCTTGCTCGGCTCTGCTCGTCCATCTTTATGTTTGATAGTTGACATTGTCATGCTATAGCTGATGAAATGATCTGACAAAATCATACGCACTGCAGTTTGAAAATCAACTTGTATTAGGGGCCCTGGAGAATAATCACTTGCGCATACGGTAAACCTCCGGTACGCGAAAAAAACCTTTGGGGCTTTTGGTCATCTCGGCGTCCACGCAGCTATTGTAAGCCAGCATCATGTCCTTACATTTCTCCATCGCAACGTTGCCCACGTCTGTGTTGGATTCACCTACTGGCTGCTTGCCATGCTCATAGAAACACGTGAAAAACTTAGTGGCCGCGTTCTCGCAAGGCTTTGGCACACGTGGGAAGTTTTCGCTCATGCGCAACTCATTCGTGTCCATTATGTCGCCTTCAGATTGTAAACTGCTGCTAGATTGTATGGTGGAAAATGAGTGTATGAGACCTTTTTTATTTGTAAATTGCACACATACATACATACAACCGCTATAATAAGTAAAGTAAAATACAATAAGTAATAATGTAAGAATCATTGTATCTTTGTCCAACATGAGTTTCTAAATGACATCCAACACACGGGAGGGGGCACTATCTCCTTCTTTCTGTCTCTCGTATTCTATTCAATGTGCAGCACTGCATGTGTTTAAAGTCGATCTTATCTCCATTGCAACGTCCATCCAATTCGGTGTTTCAGCACGGTCCATCTGATCAGCTTGTTATCTAATTGCACGGAAGCACAGTGGATATTAACTGCTCAGTCGTCAGATCAGCGAAAACACTCTCAGGATATAGCATAATTGAATCGTAATGCCCCACTACCACTAGCTATTGATGAATGCAATTGTGCACAAAATGCAAACTTCTTCAACTGTTCCGTGGGGTGCATCAAAGCCCAAAAAACACGTATATGTAGCAAAATATCCTTACGTTCCGTCATCATCTTCTCCGTCAAAGTACAAGAATTCGGATGATGTGTTAAATGCAACACTCGAGTCCAAGAATGTTGTCAGTGCAGCAGCCACTGGTCGTCTCACCTGATCACCCAATAGACCACCACACACATTTAGCAACGAAGTTAATAATATCCTGAAAACCTCACTAATACTTAACGTACAGCGCTGCTAAAGCGACTTCGATTGATCTGCATCAGCTTTTCAATGGTAGCAGAGTTACGAATGCTTCCGGATGAGCGTGCCATTGCTCTAGCCACGGTACGAGTTATTTTGAGCCGCTGCCCGAACCGGTAGTACGTCATGATTGTCTCTTGTTTTGGTAAATTGGTACCAATAGCTGATGATGGCCAAGCCACAAATTAGTGGCAGGTACGTACGGTACCATGAATATGGTACATCGAAAGACACTTTTCTGTGACCATGTAGCCATTCTATGCAGGTGTTACGGGTATCCATCCTTCTCGTTAATAGTGGACACTTGGATGTCAATTCAAATGGCGGAGCCATTGCAAGTTTTTTCTGTAATCGTCTTTTTCGGATATTGTCAGGTATGACAAAGCTCTTGTATTGCATAAGGGTTTTTATATGCATCAGATGCTTGTTGAAGGAGCCCTTTTGCAATACAAGAGCTTTTCGCTTCCACACTTGACTCGGCTTCTTTGGTGTCGCGGAACAGTTGTTAGCTTTAGTTTTGTATGACGCTAAAAAAATGCTGTAAGCTTTTTACTAGCTGACTTGGATGAGTTTGCTAGTGTACCGAGAATGCATCAAAACTGAGCATTACAATCTTAGATGCTCGGCAATCGAGTCCATTAGCGGCATACATGGCTCTTAGGATGATGAAGCAGAAAGTGCGATTCTCAAAAAGTTTGAGACGTTTGTGGGACAGCCGACGGGCAAACAGGAGCGTTACTTGCGTGAGACCACGGTGTCATGGCGCTCTTTACAACTTGCACAGTGCGGTCTTGCTTGTCAACGACAGCTTAATTATGAAGTGCTCACAGTACAATGCTTCCTGAAAAGCAAACGCGATAGCCATGCTTAGCAGTCCGACTCCGTTGCATATGCGGAACGTACTGGATGATAAAAAACAAACTTTTTTGAGTTGCCGACGGAGTCAAATACTGCCAATTCAAGACATTCGATATGATAAAGGAATGGATTGGTATCTGTGAAAGTTTTGATACTGTCGCTACTACTGGAAGCATCGAACCACTGCGATGAATGCGACTAGTGACAAATAAATCTAGAGCATTCAACAGGTATAAAGAGGGATTAAGCCCAAATACATGGCAGCAATCACACCAAATCGTGCTGGAACTTGCATCTGATCGGTGATTAGCCACAAAGTTCCACCGACGGAAGCCGAGTATGAACAAACCTGACGTCAGAATGACAAGAGACAGTTGCATACATGAGTGTACATCTAATCCAGAGGAGATGATTGTCCAAATCATGTTGCTGATTCAAGCTGGAATTTGCATCGGACTCTTGGATAGACACGAGACAGCTGCCCTGTGGTTCAACAAATTCAAGCTGTGATTGCATCAAATTGCCGGTCCAGCTTCAGGTCTTTTAGCTCCTCTTCATTTCGCATTTTACGGCCTACCTGATCGTCCTTAACGCTCAAGATGTTTGCCAAGTCGAACTGACCCATACAAAAATGCTGGCTGCTGTCACGCTCTTCGCGATTTTAACAACGATTGTGGCCACTGAAGATGTGATATCCGAGGAGGTCACACTGAGCTTGCGTGTGTCAATTATACCAAATGCAGCTCCGATCAGCACCTCATTCAAACATTTGGAGCGTCTAAACTTAGGGTTTTCTAATATGCTTAAGTTTTCATATGAGCTTAGTTGTCTGTATGCACCGTATGTTTTCACTCTAGAGAAGGCAATTGATAAATCCACAAGAGTTGTTTCGGCGATTAAGAAACGTGAAAAGCCAAGCGACAAAAACTCAAGTAAAATGTCGAAGGCTTACTGTAACGGGGTTACACGAAGGTATATATTGTACATACACACCTGCCACACCATTATGGTGTGGCTGTGCCTTGGGTACAAAAGTAGGTGATGTGACTGTACCTAAGGTACAAAGGGTGGTCACTACACTTAGTTAAGTATAGTGACGATACATATTTACATACTAATAAAAGGCTATAGAGCCAGTAATAGTGACTAGCACTAAGTATAGGATAGGTGCTTCTATATTTAGTGTTGGAAGATAAACATAAATGTAAATCAGTTTAAATGCCTGCTCTGTATAGCACTAGTTGCTAGAGCGTTCTATTCCTCCTAAGCAATTGTATCTTTGATACTAGGCTCTTTGAGACTCGGTTGTTAATACCGATAGGCACAAGCTTATGAGCTAGCCTAGGAGGGTTAAGCACCCTAAGACGTAGAAGCTCTCTGAGCTTGTCTTCCTCTGCACATAGTGCATAAGCAGCTTGGCTACAGTAGCTCGGCTACAACAATTATAGTCGTGTCGCGTTGGAGCGCTTAAAGAGCGCTGTGGTCAGGTCCACGTAGAAGCTGTAATAGCTGCTACAGGATACCCACTATAGGGAAAATATGCATTAACAATGTTCACTCGTTGGGTTTTATGCAGACGTAGTTGGAGGGCTTCAACTCAGTTGTACTGGGCCTAGTATTTGTAAACAAACCTGCGTAAGTGGAGGGCAAAGGCTGAACCAGTACCGCAGTGATGCTTGTAGAGCAGCCTTGAAACTGATTCACATTTATGTTTATCTTCCAACACTAAATATAGAAGCACCTATCCTATACTTAGTGCTAGTCAATATTTACTGGCTCTATAGCCTGTTATTATTATGCAAACATGTATAGTGACTATACTAAGTATAGTGACCACGTGGCTCTCTGCCACGATGAGACCCTTCGTACTTCAGGTACGGTCACATCACCTACTTTTGTACCCAAGGTACAGCCACACCACATTGGTGTGAAAGGTGTGTATATACAATACAAACCTTCGTGTAACCCCGTTACACCCTTCCCCACCATCCGTGGGACCCGACGTACCCACGAATTTCCGCACTTAATTGGAGGCATCGATTTCATTTTCTTCTCATTTTGCTTGCCTCGCAATAAGTGCTTGCACTTGCGAACAAAGCGTCAATGTTCTGACACTTGCTCCTTGAGCACCTGTGCTTTGCACATACGCTTTCTAAGCATTATAGTGTTATGACACTTGTTTCTCGAGCATACAGTGCATTGCACTTACGCTAAAGCATGATACTGTTACAACACTTGCTAATAAGCGTTAAGTGCCTAGCACTTCGTAATGAACCCATTAGTGTTTGCGACCACTTGCTTATACAGCATTAGGTCCCTATCACTTTCTTTTAAGCATTACAGTGTTTTAAACACGTGCTTATAGCTATTGAGCATATAAGTCTGTAACACTTCCTCACAAAGCACAGTAGTGTTAACATTAGCTTATAATGCACATCAGTGTCGAACAAAGCTTCTAATGCACATTAGTGTCTAACACTATCGTATAAGCACCATAGTAGCAAACAGTAGCTTATAAAGCACCATAGTGTCTAACACTAACTTATCAAGCACCTAAGTGTTTAACACTTGATTATAAAGCACATTTTGCTTCACTTTAGCGTATAAGCACCATAGTGTAGAACACTAGCTTATAAAGCACCATAGTTTATAACCCTATCTTATCAAGCACCTAAGTGTATAACACTAGCTTATAAAGCACCAAAGTGTACAACACTTGCTTATAAAGCACCTTAGTGTTCAGCACTCGCTTATATAGCATCTGAATGTTTAACACGTGCTTATAACGCACATTATTGTTGAACACTTGCTTCTATAAAGCCTATAAGTGCTTAAACACTTGCTTATATAATCCCAAAGTGTTGTACACTTCTGATAACGCATCATAGTGCTTTGCACTTGCTTATATAAAGCCGCACAGTGTTACTTTTGCTTATAAAGCACAACATTGTTTAATACTTGCTTATATAAAGCCCCAAAGTGTCGTAATTGCTTTTAAAGAAGATAATAGTACCTTTTACGCGAGTAAGGTACCAGCAACTGCTTCCCAAAAAGGTCAGAGGTGAAGCCTAACTACTGACCTTGCTCCCACAGCACTTAGTGCTAAAAAGCATTCGGCGACTGCTGTCGCCGCTTCTGATCTTCCCGATCAAAATTTTCAACGACGCTGAAAAGTCTTGCCGTATGGGTACCTCGTACTCCCACGAGTCATACGACTGAGGATACCCCCTCCACTTTACCAGATACTGGGTGTGGCCCTGATAAAGACGTCGCGCCAATAGACGCTCGACGTGAAACGGTTGGTGACCCAGCTCATAAGTCAGCGTTGGCGGCGGTCGGTGATCCATCAATCCACGATCTTTTGGTACGCCTTCAGCATCCATATGCACCTCCGGTGCCGTACTACCCGCTCCTTCGGCCGGGGAGTATGAGGAAAACCCCTCAAAGTCCACCGAGACAGGGTTGAGATATGGCTTTAACAAGCCCACATAGAACACAGGGTGTGTTTGCATCTTCTTGGGAAAGTTCAGCGTATAGGCCAAGCCTTTTTTTTCTTATGACCTTAAAAGGTCCAATAAAGCGTGGACATAGATTGGTTTTGTATACCGCAAACACTGCGCGTGTAGGTAAATTCCTAGCGTTTAACAATACCAAATCACCCACTTTGAACTCATGTTCGTTTTTCCTGCCTTTTGCATGCGCGTGTTCCTTCTGCACATCCTGGCTTTCAGCCATAGCGTCTTTGACGCGACGTAATACGTCAAAACGCGTTGACAGAAACGCTTCCAACTTCTTGCGCATCGCAACAGGACTGATATCAGCCAAGCCTTCGGCTATCTCCCCCCAGTAATCCCTGATATGGTAGGTGGTAGCGTCAACGTAACGCGAGGGTTAACCAAATCGTTCACATAGAATAGGGTGGAGCCTGTCGAGGCATGCACCGCGTTGTTCAACGCAAATTCAATGAGAGGGAGCATCGTGCTCCATTGTTTGGGTGTTTCAGAACAAACACTTCGAATCATACCACCAATAACGCGATTCACGCGTTTTGTTTGACCATCGGGCTGTAGTTGATCCGCTGTGGACATGTTCAGTCGAGTGCTTAGCAATACAAAGATTGAAGTCCAAAATATACCCGTAAAGCATAAGTCTATCCGAGACAATTGCCACAGGCAATCCTTGTTGTCGAAAAACACGATCCATGAACAGCTTAGCTGTTCCTTCTCCATCGATGGAGTCCGGCATTGCGGCAAAATGAGCCATATTGCTC